TACCCACATTCTGTGGTCGCGTGCTTTGCATTTAAGGAGATGAGGCACCTGGACCCATGCCTTCTCGACATTTTCAATTCTTCGGAAGCAACTCTGCCAAGAAACAGGGGCCGATTAGCTTAGACCGGCAAGGAAGGAGCACCGGGAGTAGTGCTCCAAAAGACATTCAAGCCACAACTAGTGAAGAAATAGGATCATCACAAGAACTAGCCAGTGCTAAGAATTTGGGGTATTACAGTTCATCACTCGTGTTCTGCACGCAGTTGACGTAGCTCCCAAACCCCATATAGTGCAATCTTTACCATCTTTTCTCCGCAATCTTTACAGATGTTGTATTTTCAGCGAAATATTCTACAAATGCAAGAATGAATATACATTCTTCGATGCCTTGGATGGCTCAAAACTCCTTGCTGACAATGCAGTAGAAGATGTGAGGTTTTAGTTACCGATTCTCAAAATAAGCAGAAGGGTAAAGGATAAAGCCTTTGCCGATGATAGACCCTTCGAGGCCAGCCGATGCACAAGTCAGTGTTCATATCCTCCCAGACGAGTACGGTACCAGTTTGCCATCACCGGAGAGTAGAGAGTTTGGTTGGCCTAGACGGGAGTCGATGCTGGATTTGAACTCAAGACCGTGTGGATGATAGGCATGCCACTTGTAATTACTCTCCGTCCCCGAAAGGGGGTTACTTCCTGCGAATTAGGCACGACGGTGATGTGGAGCCTGTTCAGTGAAAGACCAATTTTCCCTAATCACTATGGTATGCATCACGTTTCCTGGCAAAATTCCACGGACCTGACTCGTCCTACTTGCCGCACTGACTCTTGTCCACTTCAGAAAATCAACGGCTTATGGATCACAGATGCAGCAAGGGAAGTGGGGAAGACCGAGGACTACTTTGAAACACAGTCTGTATATGAAATCTACATAACTGAAAGCACGGTAAGTTACTACCACGACAATCTACAAAATTTCTTGAAAACTGGTTCCAACTCCGTCTTTTACGGC